ACTTCATGGCATTCCTCGGTTGGCTTAACATTGTCTACATCAGTATGATCCATGGCAAAAATTTTGTTGTGCAAGTTCAGTTGTCCCAGAGTTGATGGAGATGTAAGCAAAGGTTCATTTTGAACATGTTTCAGTCGTGCTGCTTTCAATAGGATGTGGTATTGGTAATGGTAGTTAAAGGGTGGGTACAATAATAAATTCGCAGTACATATTTAGGTATGTACAATAACTACCTAAATATGTGTCAATACATTTTCTACCTAAACATATTGTTAAATTTAAATTCTAAATAATATTTTATAAAATATCAAAACAATCAAATAATTTTTTGTGTAAATGAAATTATTAAATTAATATTGTTGGTGGAAAACATGAAACACTATTAAAAAAATTGAAACATAAATTACATAACTTTTAAAAAAGTATGGATCCTTTTTATAAAAAGTATGGACACTTTCAACATATCAGGTAAATTTTACCTTTTTTAAAACAGAATAAGTTATATCGTCAATAAAGTGTCGATACTTTATAAAAATATATCGATCCATAACAATATAACAGGTAAAAATATGACAAAACCGGTCTCGAAATGACAAAACAGGTAAAGCGCTACCGGTTATGTTGAAAGTGTCGATAATTTATTATACGTATCGACACTTTTGGAATTTAAAAGAGAAGAGTTATAGCGCCAATAAAGTGTCGATACTTTATAAAAATGTATCGGTCCATAACAATATAACATGTAAAAATATGACAAAACCGGTCTCGAAATGACAAAACAGGTAAAGCGCTACCGGTTATGTTGAAAGTGTCGATAATTTATTATAAGTATCGACACTTTTGGAATTTAAAAGAGAAGAGTTATAGCGCCAATAAAGTGTCGATATTTTATAAAAATGTATCGATCCATAACAATATAACAGGTAAAAATATGACAAAACCGATCTCAAAATGACAAAACAGGTAAAGCGCTACCGGTTATGTTGAAAGTGTCGATAATTTATTATAAGTATCTACACTTTTGAAATTTAAAAGAGAATAATTTATAGCGCCAATAAAGTTTCGATACTTTATAAAAATGTATTGATCCATAACAATATAACAGGTAAAAATATGACAAAACCGGTCTCGAAATGACAAATCAGGTAAAGCGCTACCGGTTATGTTGAAAGTGTCGATAATTTATTATACGTATCAACACTTTTGGAATTTAAAAGAGAAGAGTTATAGCGCCAATAAAGTGTCGATACTTTATAAAAATTTATCGATCCATAACAATATAACATGTAAAAATATGAAAAAACCGGTCTCGAAATGACAAAACAGGTAAAGCGCTACCGGTTATGTTGAAAGTGTCGATAATTTATTATAAGTATCGAATTTTGGAATTAATAAGAGATGAAGTTATAGCGCCAATAACGTGTCGATACTTTATAAAAATGTATCGATCCATAACAATATAACATGTAAAAATATGACAAAACCGGTCTCGAAATGACAAAACAGGTAAAGCGCTACCGGTTATGTTGAAAGTGTCGATAATTTATTATAAGTATCGACACTTTTGAAATTTAAAAGAGAAGAAGTTATAGCGCCAATAAAGTGTCGATACTTGATAAAAATGTATCGATCCATAACAATATAACAAGTAATAATATGAAAAAACCGATCTCGAAATGATAAAACAGGTAAAAAAAGCGCTACCGGTTATGTTGAAAGTGTCGATAATTTATTATAAGTATAGACACTTTTGGAATTTAAAAGAGAAGAAGTTATAGCGCCAATAAAGTGTCGATACTTTATAAAAATGTATCGATCCATAACAATATAACAGGTAAAAATATGATAAAATCGGTCTCGAAATGAAAAAACAGGTAAAGCGCTACCGGATATGTTGAAAGTGTCGATAATTTATTATAAGTATCGACACTTTTGGAATTAATAAGAGAAGAAGTTATAGCGCCAATAAAGTGTCGATACTTTATAAAAATATATCGATCTATAATAATATAACATATAAAAATATGATAAAATTGGTCTATAAATGACAAAAGGTGAACGCATATAGTGTCGATACATTTATAAAAAGTATCGATCCAAAAATATCGAAACCGATAATTATAATGTAATAAGTAAATTTGCAATGTTGCCGGTATAAATATACCGATTTACTTATAAAATAGGTCAATATAAGCGCTACCTATTACATTATATAAGCGCTACCTAATATGTTATTGTACTTGATAATATTTCCGGTTAAATACCTATTTTATTATATAAGCGCTATCTATTACATTATATAAGCGTTACCTAATATGTTATTGTACTTGATAATATTTCCGGTTAAATAATATAACATAATCGATCTAAATTTTAACTGATCACTTATTTAACCGATCACACCGTATATTAATCGTTTTTTAAAAGCGCCGCACAGCAAAACTACACCGTATATACCACATTTAAGTCCATTCAATGTTTGCAACTGCCCGCACCTGTCGTTTCGCCCTATAAATAAGGGGAGATTCTCAACACTTGAGATCACGTACCAAGGAAAAACACCATTTTATCTTATATAAAAAGACAAGTATGGAAAAGTGGAGTGTTGTTATGGTTGTCCTTGCTCTACTTGTAACTCACGGTACTGCAAGAAATGTGCCGACTGGAGCTGGTTTAGAAGACCAAAAGACTTCCTGACGTACGGTGGAGTTGGCGGTGTCTCTGGTATCGGCTCTAATGGCTTGCCATTCGGTGGATTCGGAGGCCTCGGCGGTGGAAATGGGCTTGATGGAAATGGTGGTCTAGGTGGACTCGGTGGTGGCAGCGGCTTAGGTAGCATTCCTGGCAGTGGTGCGAGTGTAGTAGGAGTTGGAGGTGGTGCAGGTGGAGGGAGCAGTGGTGCCCTACCCTTTCCCTGAAAATAACGGCAGGGATTAGCATAAGTAATTAATAGTTAAGTTGGTTCTAGAGTATGTTACTAAATACATGCTTAGAGTTTGTTGTGTTTGAGATTGAGATTCGGCAAGTTATGTTGTTTTATTTAGTGATCTTGTCCTTGCTTTGTGTTACGTAATGGCAACAAATAAAAAAAAAAACTTGTATTTTTTGAACATGATACCTTAAAGAATGACAACAATTCTTTTATTATTAAAGTCACTAGAGTTCGTGATTTTTTTTTAAATATGTGACGTTTAGTTTATTATGATGTGTAGATTTATATATTAATATATATATATATATATATATATATATATATATATTTAAAAAAATAGATCTAAATTTTACTTAAATTAAAATTTTTAAAATAAAATTGATCCGTCCGAGTCAGATCAACTCAGAACACTATAAATCCAAATATATCTTATATCTCAAATATCCCCAAGTCGAAGAAGTGATATAGAGGAGTAGGTTGACACAACATCGAATCGATATCTCCCACCGTTGAACTTCATATGCTGATATCACCTCAAGCCAATACATTGAGTGCAATTAAATCAAGAAAAACTCATATGGTATTGTAAATAACTTATTAAAAATGAACTCAACAATCAACAATAAATTAATCTAATAAAATAAAACATTATATTCTATAAACAAAACTAATATGAATCTACACGAATCAACACACGTTGAAGGAATCGTTGTTGTTCCTAGAGATCGTGGGTTCAAGCACCAACGACTGCAAGGGTGATTAAACATTCATTATTAAATGGTTGAAAGTATTTAGAATAGATACTACTTTGTAATCACCTATAGCTTAATAAAATAATAATAATAATATGAATCTCAAACACATTTTTTATTATTTCAAACTATCAAAATAAAAATCAGTCATGAAAGTGTACATGAATCGTACAATAAATATAATACCTCAAAATTTGAATCTTTAATTTTTATCTTCAAAAATTGGCACATATATTCTATAGAGACGGTGACTCTCAGTTTTCTAAGATGAAATGTTAGAAAAGTTAACTCGTGTAATTTAGAGATCATAATCCTAATAAATAACTCGCACAATGATAATCCTAATAAATAACCTGACACAATAAATTTAATTTATAATCAGTCCATCATCGATTAGAAATTCGTTATTTGAGTATCTACACGTATTTGATTCATACTTTATTTAATTATTGAAGTCCAATTAATTTTAATCGTATTAAATCACTTTAATAAAGACTAACTCTTTTATGATTGTAAATAACATACAATTATTTACTTATTATGTATGTCATATCCATATAATCCAATAATCTCTCACTTAAACAACATATGTACATATACTTATCACTTTATAATTGTATGTCATCATAATCTTACGAACTTAAAAATTTTATTATTATGAAAGATATATCAAACAATCGATATATAATCTCTCATAAATTTGATTAATTAAATTGATAATATTGTAAATAAAAAAAACACTTTGATCTAAATGGTGATGTACACTAGTCAGACAGCTTAGGAATATGAATATTATGGAGTTAGAATGGTAGATTTCTATGTGGCAAAGACATACTATTGTTCAACTACAACCCACAGCTGTAACATATTAAAAGAATTCAACTAAACAATTTATTACCACCAAAACTAATTTACTTTTCCAACATACTAATTTATATACAATTATAGGAACTACCGAACTTCAAATGATTAAATGAGAAAAAAAAAAGAAAAAAAATTGAGGACTCTCGAAAAATAAAGTTTATGAACTCATCAAGTGACCTCACTGGTAAAAAAAGGTTATTCTTCTTAGAGGTTCTAGATTCGAGCAGTTGTATCTGTAGGTTATGTGAGCATTATCAGTAGGTTAAAAATATTATGAGCATATACTACCTTATAATTACCTCATACTACTAAAAATAAATAAAGCTGATGGAAAAAGGCACCAAATGCTTAGCGTTAACATTGAATTATCTCAACGCCGTTCCCATCAATCTAGCTAATCGCCCTATAAAAGGAGTTCATCATCAACACATGCATCATCAACAAAAGCAAAACATCATAGAGAGTGTCCAATATAGTAAACAGAGTTGATATGGCCAAGTATTGCAATGTTGTGCTTATTCTTGCTCTAGCAGTGATGGTTCAAGCAACCGCAAGGAATGTGCCTAACGATGCTGCTGGTCTCAATGACCAAAAGAACTTCCTCACGTACGGTGGCGTTGGAGGCTACTCTGGCATTGGAGCGAATGGCATGCCGATTGGTGGTGTTGGGAGTGCTGGAGGTGTGACTAACCTTGATGGTACAGGTGGGACTGGCGGCGTATTAGGCGTTGGGTTTGGAAGTGGTGCTGGCTCCGGCGCCGGTGTCGGAGTTGGAGGTGGTGTAGGTGGTACTGGTGCTGGCATTGAAAGTGCGCCTGGTTCCATCCATTTTCCTTGAACTTCGTTGGGGTTTAACTTGTGTTAGAGTAATATTATAGTTGCTCTAGAGTGTGTGGCATGTTTAAGATTGTAGTAATGCTTGTTGGATGTTGAGATGTTATCGTCCTTTATTTTCTTATGTAGCAATGCATCATGTCTTTTGCTTTGTCGGCCGTTGTTCCATTTTTGTTGTCACTTTTCATACATAATTGATTTTGGCAAATTAAACACATATATATTAAATCATACATAAGTTAATCAACGACACTCGTGCATGGGAGGAAGTTCGAGTGATGTTGTCGTTTTTATCTAGACTAGATAGTCCTAAATCTTTAAGATTAATTAGCAAAAGTTTCAACTAAATTTCCTATTGTGTCAAATTAAGCACTACAAGAAGCCTTGGTCTTCCCTGTTTGATTGGTGACCTCCACTGAATCCACTTACTCTAAGAATGGAGGAGAACATCACTGATAACAATTTCATCTTTAATGATCAATTTCAACATAATCTCCCAATTTTATTATAAACCCTCATTTAGATTCAATTTAGGATTTCAAATCTTGAAATTGAGATTATCAATAGAAAGTTTGTAAAATGAAGATTTCAATTATGTATTTATCTTTCAATTTGAGTGAGAGAAAGAGCTTGAAGAGAGAAAATATGGATGTAAGCTTCAAATGTACTTTAATGGTGATTTTGACGTGAAGACGAAAGAAAAAGGCGTACCTAGTAACCTTATAATAATACAGTTGAGGTAGGAAACTCTTCTCAAGGGGTTTGTTATTTTAGCCCAAGTTAAGAGTTACAGAAATTATGATAAAATTGTATAAAATGACACCTAAGTAGTTTATTCATCATTTTAGAAAATAGTGAAATTCCATGGTTAGTCCATTTTTTTCTCTTTTTTAATCTAATCATTGCATTGTTTAATTACCTAAGTTTCCCTTTTTTTAATAGTCACCATATTCTCAACAGTCTTAATATAGTTTACTAAATTTCATGGCGTCTCGACTCTTTGAATCAGTGTTAGAGAGATCCTTTAGCTGGGAAACGAATGTTTTTCAATAGTCTTGGTCGGATCACAAAAGCACTTGATAGAAAGAGGAGACATCTTCGCCTTCATAAAAACAATAAAGGGTTCCTCTTATGAGGACAAAAATATCTTAATACTCGTTATACATAATAGAACAACTCTTATTACTGGAACAGACACAACTCAACACCTTAAATTGATTCCATAAATAGTAAACTTATGAAAAACGCACTTTTGATCTATAAGTTAAATTTTAAAACAAATTTATTAAACGAATAGAATTTAAAAGTAAAAACATATTTAAAACGACGGTTTTAAACCAACTACAAAAATTGAATTCTCTAATTTTTCCAATTCAATTTTCCATTTAAAAGCAAAATTATTCTTTTACTCTTATTGTAATACATGTACTCCACGCCTTTGTCTAGAATTTTTTTTATAAAACTTAATTGATTTTATAAATTATATATTAAGTATATACTAACTAGCTTTGCCCAAAAACAAAATTTTTCAAATTCATTTTATATTTTTATTATGATTACATGTGTCATATATATTTTTTATAATTTTATTTGATATATTAAAATATTAATAAATTTAAAATAATTTAAATTAATATATTTTTCATTTGCAATATAATGTCTAAAACATACATTTTATCTTATTAAAAGTACTTTTAGATAACAATACCAAACACTAAAATCTTTGTTTTTCAAAATACTTTCTAATTTTTAAATGCATTTTTCAAAAGGATCTTGCGAGGAAAAAGATTTGGTGAAAAATCATATAAAAGAAAAGGCATGAAATCAAATAGTGAGATAAAGTCGCTTAGGGTTTAGGGTTTGGGTGGTACCGAAAAATCCAAGATGATGCTCAACTCAACTAATGGATAGCCCATTAATTGATTTCCTTAAGCAAAGCAGAAGCAGTATCTTGTCACTATTTATGATACAACTCAGAAATTAAGGCAATAATACCAGAAACCATGAAATGAACAAAACTTGCACATTCATTACAAAATGATAATGATATGGTTGAGCTTAGCACATCTTGATTGCAACACTAACAACCTTGACCATGAATCACCGCTATTTTATGAAATGATGGGAGACAAAGTGATTGGAACAAGAAACAGCAACCAGAAGAAAAACAATAATGAATTACTCCATGAATATGGGGCATAACAAAGTTCTCGACCATCAACTCGAACACCCCCGTCTATTACCCTAAAAATATTTTCATCAGCTTTTATCAAATATATTATACTTCAGGTCAACAAGTTTGGAAACACAGCATACCCTTTGTTCCCATCTGCAAAATCTCTAGTAATCTAGGCTGCCCATCCCACCAGGGGTTGCGGTTCCTTCCTTCTCATCCTTCGGAGCTTCGGTAATGATTGCTTCCGTCGTGGTCATCAAAGAAGACACACTGCACTTGCACACAAGTCATAATTAAGATGAAGGCGATCACCAAGGGAAAAAAAAGTAGGGACTATAAATCACCTTGCAGCATCTACCAAAGCTGTTCTTATGACTTTCAAAGGATCAATGATTCCTGCTTTTACCATATCTATATATTCACCTGCACAAACATAAATGGAAAAATGATGATCAAATTCCAATTCACAAAACTTTCTTGATATCATAAATATTTTTAATGTGATTCTGTTGGTGAAAGAAGGATAGAAAACCTTTAGCAGCATCGTATCCAAGGTCAGGGTTATCTTGTTCCAGTAGCTTTCCAACAACCACTGCTCCCTCAACCCCAGCATTGGAAGCAATTGTATGCACAGGCATCTGTAGAAATGACATTGAACTTGTAAACCAAAAGCATACATACAACACTCTGCTTTTATAATGATATAAGTTCAGTTCTGAAAGCTCAAAAAGTTTTATATGGGTCCTATCTACAGATGGTCAAGTGATCCAATCCAACAGGTTTTGACCCGACGCAACCCTATAGGGTCCACTTTTTGTGAAATTTGGGTTCAAGGAAGGTTTTGTGGATGGACAAGCAGGGTCGGGGAAGAGTCAGTTTAGGGTAAAAAATCCCCAGCCCAACCCGAGGTAGTTAATATAATGTTATTTAACATATCATTCGGGGTTTCTCACTTTCATTTTCTCATCATTTCCTCCCCCACTTGCCGCTCTCCTCCTTTCTCCTTGAGCAAAATCTGATGTGTTTATTCTAGATCTTAGAATTAGTTTGCTTGTTGGGGGTAACAGCATGAAGAATCAGTTTGAAGAGTTGACACAAAAGCCTCAAATTATTTTTGCTACTCCTGGTAGACTAATTCTGTTTGAATCAGATTTTTTCCTACTTCTATGTTTCCTGCTTCTGTTCCACTGATTCTCGACTTTGCAATTTCACTTTATATAAGCTGATGTTTTACTGTTGATCCGGTTGATGTTTTGGTGCCCTATTTCCAGCTGAAATGTGGGATGGTAAGCTAGTCAGATCAGCTCCACCAACACACACTTAAAGTTAATGGGTCCATAGCTTCTCTTTTTTGTTTTTGGGGATGGAACGGAATTTAACAGTAAAATTCAGGGCAGGTGGAGCACCATCAAAAGTCAGTGCAGGTTGGATCGGGTGAAAGACTAACTCTCAGTTCAGCACAGGTCAGCCAAAAAACCGACCCACCCCGCCCCGTACCCATCCCTAGACTATCTTATAAAGCATAGGCTAGAAAGAGGATTATAAACAGCATTACACAGTTCTTAAACCTAAGATTTATCTCCAAAAATGGCATGTTATATTTTTGGAATAAAGATTCTGCAAGAGAACATTCCATTGGAAACAATAAATATAAGGATAACCAGTTTTAACCTTAAGAGCATTCTGGATGATCTGCACCCCAATCTTCTGATAAAAGTTTGCAGTGTCCATGTTTTCAAGCTCCTTTGATGCATAAAGAAGGGCAGCGCCACCACCTGTGAATGGGAAACCCTTTACATACCATATGAAAACATAAATCCAACAAAATCAACTATAACAGAAGAATTCCAATTTAAAAGCATACCAGGAACAATTCCTTCCTCCACAGCAGCTTTGGTAGCATTTAGGGCATCGGTAACTCTATCCTTCTTTTCACCAACTTCTGCTTCACTTGCCCCTCCAATCTACAAAACAAACACCCATTAGTGCTTGAAGAGAACAGTTTCAGGGACAACAATTAAACCACTTAAGTTATTCCATAGCTTTTTTTCCCCCTTTTTTTGCATTAATCATAAGTTTTGCAAGCCGCTCTTGTAACTTATCTTTATCGTAATCAGAAGTACTTAGTTCCACAGCAGATCTTATCTGTAGCATAATCATAAGCCAGTGAATGAATGCTACTAACAGAAAAGCGTGATAATTGCAAAAGGCATGAGAAAACAGCAATGAAACTAACTTGTTCACATCTTTCTTCAATAGCAGCCTTGTCCCCAGCTCCATAAAGGATAATTGTGTCATCCTTTGATACTGTAACATACACTTCAAGACAGAGAAATCAGCTACAAATCCACAACAAAATTAACAAATAAACCTTAAAAAACTGTTTTTTTGTGGGGGTGGGGAGGGGGACGGGGGAAACTAAGAGCAAGAAGGCAGATTCTCATTAAGATGTATTGATTAACCAACCTTTTTGCAAGAGCCTAGCACCTCTGCTCCCACCTTTTCAATGTCGAGACCAAGTTCCTCGGTTACTACCTATAAAGAAAACAGGTTACGGAATATGGCGGTTAAAGTAGCAATGGAAAGTTTTAAGTTGAAATAGAAAAAACCTACTTGGCCTCCTGTGAGAGCGGCAAGGTCCTGCAAACCAGCTTTCCTATTTTCTCCAAAACCAGGTGCCTTAATAGCACACACCTTACAAACCAGCCACAATGAGAAAAGTTAAGATCTGAATCTTCATAGCAAGAGCCTAAATAATAGCTACAATTTAAAATGGAAAGGTACAAACAATACCTTGAGGCCAGCACGAAGCTTGTTCAGAATGAGAGTTGCAAGTGCTTCACTTTCAAGATCTTCAGCAACAATTAGCAAAGGCCTTTGCTTCTGGAAAACTTTGCATATTTTTCAATGAAAGTGATAACATGATTTACATTATTAAAAATTGGCAATTTTCTTCAGATAGAACCACTCAATGT